TTCCTTTTTTGCCTTATTCTACTTAGATTAAAAACAACCAACCTTTAATTTTGAAGTTTCTATTAAAAAGAAAACAACTGAAACTAAGGAGTCAGTTGAGATATTTATTTGTCATGATTAATTTAATGAAGTAAATTCGATCATATAAATAGTCTATCAATCGATTCTTTATAACTAATGAGACTAAGCCAGTAGTTAAGGTTAAACTATTCCATGAATTTATTGTTACTGATTGTCATTCAGTATGATTAATTTCTTACATTCTGTTTTTTTTCTTTTCTGAGGAAAACAAATAATATATGAGGGAGGATAATTAATCATTACCGGAATTAAATATATTTATCTTATTGAAACTAGTCAAATATAAATTTTTTCAAAAATGTTTTTTCCCCCTCACAAGTCACTCATATCGTAAATTAAGGCAGAAAAGCACTCATGAATTGGATGTATTATGGTGTATTGAAAAAAGCTTGGACATTGAATGTTTAATTCAATATGATATTTTTCATAGGTGTAAACTATAACCAAGTTCAAAATTAAGGAAATTTTTTTTCTGTTCTTTATGCAACGATTTTCTAATATTGTATGAATGAAGATTTTTATATGATTTTCACTATTTATTAACCTCAAGTACGAAATGTATTTAGTATAAAGTCGACTAAAGATTAATTAATATCAGATGGGTTTTGTGGATATTATAGTAATTTTAATGGTTAAGATCATTGGTCAGTTGAAGCTAGACCACCATAGAAAACCTGGAAGCACTGGACAGTCGTTTCAACCTATTGTGTGACCCCTCGGCAGTACGCATCCATGACCTCATCCTTTGCGAGATTCGAACCCACGACCCACTGGTTTTGCACGCGAGCACTTAACCACTAGACAACTGAGCCGGTTTTCCATGGTGGTCTAGCTTCAACTGACTAATTATCTTAACCACTGAAATTAAAGATTAACTGATAAAAATTGATGATTTATAGCTTTAAGAGTAGTGAGAGTTATCTTCGATGAAACTTATTTTTGGTAGTTCATATTTAGTCTTCTATTAAATTGAGACTACCCATTTGATGTGTTTAACTAATTCATTACGAATAAGGATTTGAGTTATTTCTTTGTTCAAATTTAAGACTGAACTATGATCAGTTAGTAGTTGCCTTATGAACACAGTCGTTCAGAGAAATATGCGTTGATCTTTTAGGCTTTAATCTTAGTATGAACATCAACAATGAGTGGATGGTATATTCTGATAACTAGTTCCAAGAGGAATGAAATGAGTGTCCTGAATTTCACTAACAACTACAATCCGTTTATTCTCTAAATTATCTTTATTTTTTAAGAAAATGAAATTCATTTAATGAATACATTGCTGTCTCATTTTTTTACTTATTTTTCAAGCGATTTTACTTATCAGTTATTAAAAGTGTAAATAACTAGCTGTAAATCATATATATATATATATATATATATATATATATATATATATATATATATATATATATATATATATATATATATATATATATATATACATATGAATCAAGAAGCCAATACATACCAGATATAGTTCCAGTTGATAAAAATAGACATCAAAATTTGGAATCTTCCATGTATCAAATAATGTTGAAAGACTTTTGAATGCATGATAATCACTTATTAAATGTAAATTAATATGTCTTATATAACACTCATTCATGTGATTCACATTATCCATTATTGATTTCTTTTCTTTGAATGTTCCTATTGACTTTAAATTAGTTGATTTAGAAAATTTAGAAAATTCAATAGATTTTTCCCAACTTCTTTGAAGTAATATACTTTTAATTAATGTTACAAGTCCACGAGCAGCTTGTTCACCTCCAATAACAAATGAAATATCGATGGTGATAATGTTTTTCTATGAAGAAAAAAGATAATATATTGAAAACATGCAACAAAGAAGAAGAGTCAACTGTTTTAAAAAACATAGCTGTCAGTACATTATGATTGTCATACGTATTCGAACACATCGAAGCCACTTAGTTTGCTGAAGATTAAATCTTACCAAGAACATCTTATGAATAAAGTTATATAATTTAAAAACTAATCACTGATATTCAGTATGTTTCAAAATACAAAGAAGCAGATAATCATTATCAGTTTATGAGTACTTCTTAAAAGTAAGTTTGATACTATAAAAAAACAAATTAGGACACTTTATAAATAGTATATCATCGGTCGATCCTACTACACACAATTATTTTTAATTTTTACTGTAAATAAGTATATGAGCACTATATCAAAGATTTACTAATCACTTTCCATTGTACCCCTAGTAGCATCATAAAAAAGACTGAAAATTCATATTTTAACTTGAATTCATTTGTATCAGTTGAGACCAGCTAGAAATGTCATTTTGTTTCAACAACCAAAAAAAAAGCTAAACAAATACAAATACCACTGAGGTGTTATCATTAACACATTGATAAGTTAGATACTGAAGTAGTGTTAAAGTTGAACTGTTTCCAAATTAAACTACCATGTATTATAAAATAAATATAAACTGATGAAACTTAAAAAGCTTTTATTAATAAGCATTTTAAGTTTAGGTAAGTGTAAACAGTGTTTTTTTATAATTTCAAAAAAAATAATAATACATAGGAAAGCTTCTAAAATATGGTAATATTAAAATTGTTGTCATGACACATTACAATAACAATATCTCCCTCCACCCTCTACTGTTAAGCAGTTGCATAGATTCATTTATCCCCGTCAACTATATTTTAAATGTTTTGACTGGATATCACTTTATATATATATATATATATATATATATATATATATATATATATATATATATATATGTCAGATTTGTCGACTTATTTACTTTAATTTTAGGCATATATATATATATGCACACACACACAAATATATATACATGTATGTTAACATATTTGATGTGTCGATTCTGTACAAAAAATTATTTAACCGAACAAGTTGATCGGTACTTCGATGTGGAAAAAAATTCTTTTTTTTCTAAAAAAAAGAATAGAGGGACTAGTTATCATAATGACAGTATACAACTGGATATTTTCATTTGACATAATCACATTTTTTTATATTTCAGATGATTTTAAATTATGAAGACTAGGGATTATAAACAAAGTGGTAAACTGGATAATGAATTATGATAGTGGTAAATTATTGTGAACTGTCTAAATATTTTATACTTTTGTTTTATTAAAGCATGAACAACTTTTTTCAGTTATACAGATTACTTACTTAGTAGTAACTAATGTCATATTATCAAGTAATATTTTGACTAATGTCTATGGACAGTACTGCAGTGTGTATCATCCGTTTGATTAGTATGATATTACAATGCCATTTCACGTCCAGTTAGTGGTATACAAAAAGATGTCCTAAGCAGAAAATTTGCACTATTTTGAATTCAATTTCATAGAAACCATAATTTGTTTGATGATTGCTGATATATATTTGGTTAGGACAATACAGAACTATGTCACTATCTACACTTTCACACAAACTATTAATCCATAATTATTAAGACTAAAAATTAATTGGAATACAATAAACACCTTAACATAGAGAATTGAAATTAAGACAGATCTTAAAACTAACTTTCTTTTGGTTAGTGATTTATAACGGTATTTTTTAATAATTCAGGTAAATCAACGTTTAATTACAGATCGTTCGAAATTGTGGTGTTTATCAAGCAATCAGCTAAAAATCATTTATACTTTAACTTGATATTTAGATCTGTTTGAAGCTGAGTAAGCAGTTATAATTCTACTATTTGTTATCAATTCACATGATCATTTAAAAATGGTTGTCTTTCTTTTCCTTTGAAACAGTCTCTCAGCTTTTTGAGGTGTGTAGTTTCAAACTGTAGATACACACTAATATTTTCATAGCTGTAATACAAGTCAGTCGCTATCTTGACTCAATAGTTCGTTAGAGTTTGAAACAAAAGATGCTGAACCCATTAACATTAACATTAGGACAGGAGGAAATTTAGATGAAGAGTTTCAAATAAAATGGATCACATATCATCGTTTTCATCGATACTTGCATATAAAATATTTGAAATTGAAATCTTGTGCTTAAAAATGGTTTTACTTCTTTCCTCAAATTAGTAAATCATGCACAAAATTATAATTAGAGATGAGTGTCGGCTAGCAGTGAAAACCGAGACGTATATTTCGTCCTATCTCGGACTCGTCAGTTGAATATACCGACATGCCAAGTTTATTGTATAATCCAGTAATAGAAACCAGTACCGTTCGAATGAACATCAACTCCAGGATGCAGTTATATCAAACCAACAAGTCACAAATAGAATGAAACTCGCGTCCTGAATTCCACTGCTAGCCACCATCCATCTCAGTCTAAAATGTTTGTGAGTTAAAGCAGTATCGAGGCGATGTACACAGCATGTACATATGCCAACAAGAAACTGATAAATTGCACTCCTAAAAAACGATAGGAATATACAAGAAAACAACATCAACTGAATTTAAACTTCACCCAATTGCAAAAGCAAGTGGCTATCAGAACTCAGTAGCTAAGTGAATAACGCGAAAGGTACTAGGTTGAACATCAACTCTGAGATACAGCTACATCTGGTTAACGAGTCCGAAATAATACGAAACGAGCGTCCTGGATTCCATTGCTAGTCACTATCCATCTTTGCCTATACCTAGTAACATTTTTTTAGTAACTAAGGATAAATAAGATGATATCAAATCACAAGTGCATTAATTAAGATCGATTAATTTAATTTTAAAAAAACATCACTTTAAACCATTTTTTAGTTACTTGAAATTGTGTATCTTGTAAATTTTCATCATAAATTGAATCATCTAATTTTTGTTTATTCATGTTGATTATTGAACATAACGAAGTGAATTGAAATAATTTCATTTGACATGTATATGATAAAACTACTTGTTGTTCATATATAAGTAATAATATAAAACAACAACAAATTAATAGAATATAACATGTTTGAATACGTAATCTACGTATTATTATATAAATATGTGAATGAATATCTTGTATAATGGATTGATTCTTTATTATTGAAATAGGTTTTCTTCTAATAAACCATTTCATATACATGATGTTGATTTCTTTTTGTAATCTAAACAACAACGAAAATGGTTGATCAATATGAGTTAATGAATGTTTAATATAAAATGAATTATTAAATGAACAATAAACAATTATTCAAAGAACTACTGTGATGTGTGCTACTGATGTCGATAGATATAAGTAGTATAAATCGTCAATCGAAATTGAAATGCCTGAGAGCTAAAGGTTAAGAAGATTCAAAAAACGAGAACTAGAACAAAGATACTTTACGAATATACAATTTACTATATAGTTCTGCAATGTTCTGTAATTTTGTGTTGAAACACATTCAATTATCCCCACTTGTGTTCTCATTCACTACACAATAACTAATAATTTACATGTGATCTGACTCGGTGTATTTTAATATATCTATCATCAGTTCATGAGACAATTGTTATGTAGATTCTCAATGATTAACCTAAAGTACAACAAAAATAATTGATTCACGAAAGAAGATGAATTGAACCGTGAAAGTGAGTTCTTGATTTATGTAATCGAAAGGAGGACAGTTGTCTTCAAGGTCACTACACTATAATTAGAGCATTTTTCTGTTAAGCTTTCTACTATAATCAATACGTGGGTTTGTGGAAATTGTAGCATTTTAACATTTTAATTCACGAGTCAATCTAAGCTAGACCGTCATTGAAAACATGGAAACAATGGACGGTCATTTAGTCCTAGTGCGATGTCTTATTAAAAATTGTTAAAAATGAAGAAAACATTTGTTTAAGATAAAATTAATATCTTTTTATTGTCAAATGCTTTCTATAGTTTATTTTAATTTAGCCAACTTATCATATTCGCCAAATTGTTTAAGTGTTTAATTTCTGTAAACAATAGGGAACATAACAGATGGAATGGAAGCTTTTGTTGATTAGTTAGATTCTATCCAACTTTACCTCTATTTCACTGTCCAAGTCAAATTTTGTAGAGCTACTTAAAGTAAATAGTATTCTTAGAAAAATTTCATGTCTTAATCTTCTTGTTCTATTTTATTTAATTTGTTTCTAGGTATATTTCACTGGATTGTTTTTGATCACTCAGTTAAACGATTTGTTCATGCTTGTAATCAGTAAAAAAAAACTTTCGTACTGTTGGAAAACCTTATACATCAAGTCACATATGTATTTTAGAGCATAGATAACTAGATGAGCATTTTTTGTACAGGAGTTTAGGATAAAGTTTTTTCACTTACCGTCTTGAAGTTTTTTCTGATAGAAATATTCCGACCAAATTATCTGCATGTTCATAATGTGTTCTTTAGTTTATTTATTTCACTATCTGCACTTTTTTAACAACATAATAGTTTGATACTATGGCTGTGACATTTAACCAGATTTGATCTGTACTAAATAGGTGTAAATCTATGGAAATCGGTATAATAACCCATCCATACATTCATTCTGAATTAAGATTTTTTTTAAATGCAACTGTCTATCCTTCTAGTAAACAGTACATCAACGAACGTTATACTATTATACGCTTCCTCTTCACTAATGAATTTAATATAGGAGTGAACGCCATTGAAACTGTTGAACAGCTCCAGTTTATTGATATTTTTGTTGAACACAACGAGCATATCATGTATATACCGACAGTAATAAACTAGTTTATTCAAAATATTTTTCAACTGTTCATTTTCCAGTTTGGTTGAAAAAAATACTAATCACTTATAAGCATAATTTACTTTTCATTCGATTTCATTCTGTTTTAAAAGATGAAGACTTCTGTTTTCAGTGTGGATTTAAAGAATTTATTGGGTATAGATTCACTATGATATAAAGACTTATGTAGTGGCTGTGTGTCGTTGACCAATCACCCTCGTAACCATTATCATATAATCCTCAACGGTGTTTGAAATCAGAAGGCAAAGAGAAGCAGCGACTACAGTTTTATAAGCAGATAACACAGATCACAAAGCAGTGAAGCGAATGAATTGAGTCAGTGAACCGAGAGTGTAGAGTGTAAATGTACATGTATATATATAGGGAAATGAATGGATCATCGAATTAATTAAGCAGCTAATAATAAAGCTAGCAGAATGGACATATGCGTAGGCGGTAAGCAATGTCCAAGCATACATATCTCATACAATAATAAAGGTACGATAAGTTGTTTTAGTATGGATGACTTTGTCCATTGAATAAGTTAACAAAAACGACTTAACCGAATTAAATGAGAACAAACTCTATTGTACGTGAGTTGCAATACTTACTAATTCATAATGATGCTTAAATGCAAGAGTTTTTATAAGTAATAACTTGTGTTTTCTTTTAGAAATGTTATCTGTTTTCTTTTATTATAGAACAATGAATCACAAAATATTTGTTTAGTAGTGCCAGCATTTGAAACTTTTAAAAATCATTTGAAACTACCAGAAACAAAAAACGATTTATTAAAATCTTGGGAAATTGGAGAGATTTTACCATTTCGGCATAAAATCTGGTCAGCTGGTCATATGTCAACGAATTATTCACATTGGAAATTCTCTAACAATGATTACGAAGTATGTCGATGTTGAAAAGATATTCAGTTTTAATAATATGCATATACTTAGGATATTTTCAATATGACTGTAGTTAGTTATACTATCCACTGGTTAAGAACTTCATTCTATTCACTTTAAAACACATTTATTGGTCCTAAATCTCTAGTTGACTCCACTAATATTGTGTAATTGATTGTTATTGAAATACAAATATCGTTAGTCCTCGTATAAAATCATAGACTTTATCCGAAATAGTGTATAATGGAATTAAATAAGTAAGTCAAATTCGAGAATGAATGCTTGAATACGTATATTTCGTACACTGGTTGATCTGGACAGAAAATCAGAGGGACGAAGTGAGAGAAGCGAAGTGAGGAAAGCGAAGCCAGATGACGCACAGTGGAGAAGGCGTTTGAGCCGACTCCATTTAATCAAACACTAATCAATATATACAGTCAGATAAAAATAAGTTATATATGTGTGATGAATAAGATAAGAAGTGCACTCACATATGCTCATATAAAAACAGTCAAGTTTAATAAGCGAATAATTAACGAAGTCAAAATGTAACTTTAGAAGAATAAGTACGTTTGTCCAGAATATGATAGAATAAGTTATTTAGGTTTAACATAGTAACCGACACTACAAAACCATCATTACTACAAATTAAAACCAATTTACACTAACTACATCCTACTGACTGTTAACATACCATTGATGAAAATAATTCAGTTTTAGGTAAACGTTAATAACAAGTTGTTCAAAACGAAAAAACAAACATTCAGTAAAAAAAAAATATCAAAATATACGTCAGTTTTGTAAAATTACCATTTGGTTTCAGAGGATGAAAAACTTGTTTTATTTGTATGACATGGCGTCAGTAGTTTTAACACAAACTGTTAACTTTCAATAATTTGACATTTTTATAGTTAAAAATAAAAGAGAACAATTGAAGAGGGATAAATGGACTGTTTTATTTTTTAATATGGATATAAGAGATTTCCATCCCTTTTTTTCAGAAAACAGAAATTATAATTTGAACAGTTACTTATAGGATTTATACAAATGACTAACACAATTTTTACTAAAACATATCAATTCTCTTCAGATTCGATAGTTATTTATCGAAATTAAAGGGTAACATATATCGTATGTATCCTAAATAACTATGAAATATGCATATAATGAAATTATCAGAAGGGGTTTGTGGAGATTTCAGAAATTTCACAGATTGAAATCATGAGTCAATTGAAGCCAGACCATCATAGAAAACCCGGAGGCACTGGACGGCCGTTTCGTCTCACTAAAGACAACCTCCTGGATCGGTTGAAGTTAGACATTAACACCAATGGATGCCGGCTCATTGGTCTAAATGGTTAAGCGTCTGGTGCGAGACTGATAGGTCCTGGGTTCGAATCTCGTTGCGGGGGAGCGGGATCGTGGATGCGCACTGCTGAGGAGTCCCATACTGGTACAAAACGGCCGTCCAGAGCTTCTGAATGCTCCGTGGTGGTCTAGCTACAATTGACTCATGATTTCAATCTGTGAAATTTAATGAAATTGTCAAATTAATGATCAGAATAAATATTAGATCAAATGGAGTGATAGAAATAATAGTTCAATTACAAATCTGGTAGAAAACTATCTTGTGTACAAAATTATATGAATTTAAGATGAAATGATAAAGTGGAGTGAGTGCGAAGTAGTTTAATCATGTGTTAATTATGTTGAATCAATAATAATAATAATAATAATAATAATAATAATACGAAGATATATGAATAAAGATAACAAAGGCTGTGACTAAACATTTGATCGGACTTACAATGCGCTATTTTTTCTCTCACCCTATCTGATCAGTATTTGTTGTGATCATTCATAATTTTATTTAACGTATAATCCGATTCAAGTTATTATTGCATATTAGTCATTTAAACATTAACAATTTAATTTGAGTTTCACAGTTGAAATCACGAGTCATTTTAAGACAAACCATCATTAAAAATTTAAAATCACAGGACGGCTGTTTCGTCTTTGTATAGAACACCTTAATCGCAGACATTCACGATTCCTCACGCGGTACTCAAACCAATGATTTCTAGTCCTACGCGCAAACGTTTAGTCTCTAGACCACTGAAATGGCAGCCAACAGTGTTAATGTCTAATTCCAATCAATACATTTTATTTACCAATCCTAAATTCATATGCTATAACTTTAAATGATATTACTGTAGAACCTGGAGGGAATTTATTGAAAAGAATATTTGTCGTTCATTTATTAGTGTTTTAATATAGTGGGTATTTTTAAATAATTTTTCCATATAAGTTTATACTATGATACAGAAAGTGATAACAACGTTTAATAGCTTCTATTTTCTGAGCAATACATTCTAAAATGATTTTAAAAACTAGAATCGTTCTGACGGATTTATTATTATTATTTGAACACATAAATATTGGTACAAGGGGGGACCAACTACATATGTGTCACACAAGTCACTTAATTTGTGAGTGGGCTGTGATACTGCTCGGGTAGACAGACCGAAGCAGGTGGTTTTATCAAAAAATCACACCAGGAGCCATGGACCTAAAAGTTTGATCCACAAGGCAATAGAGCAACGTCAGGAGATGCAGTCCCATGGGGACCAGTGGCTGAGGATAGGTTTATATGCTATTTGTTCCTTCAGGATTCTGAAGCCCATGTGCACCATTGATTGATAATCAGGGGTTTCCAACCCCCATAGGTGGATCCTCCATTTCCACCAACCTGGTTAAAGAGTCGAACATTCGCTTTTCGTCCTCTCGATTTTGTAAGCGACATCCCCACCGTGAGGAGGCAGTGAGTAGAATTTCCCTGCCAGTGGCCATATACGCGTGGGAGAGCATTTTGACTCTGAGAACTGGCTCTCCTCGCCCTCGATTGTATCATGGCAATAGGGGGCATATTGCATTAAAAAGGTATTTCTAGTTTCATAAAAATCCATCGAGTCCTAATAATAATTTTTTACTTTATAAATGATTTAAGCATGGTCAAAATTAATTTCTTTCAAGGAAGATGATAATTCCATAAAATGTATTTGTTAACGTAACAAAATAATTAACAAAATTGATCTTGTTTTATTATTCTAATGCTCTAATTTTGGCACTAAAATCTCTATATTTATAATTCTGATCGTAGCCAATTTCGTGTCTGATGCCTACAATTCATGATTGAAGTTCAAAGCCCAATAAAATTTCAAACGATATTTACGATTGTGTTACCAAAGAGACTTCATTATACCAATAATTAACACTTATTGTAACTTATATAAAAATAATCCCTGTGACATTTTTTTGTTTATTTACTCCAATTTGTTAATATGGAAATGTGAATTGCATTATATTTCATTTCAAATTTCGACTTGGTTACTCTAACAGAGATAGTATTTCATATCTAAAACTTTGATCGAATTCTATGTCTGGTAGATAAAAATACTATATTTTAAATAAATTCTTGCCACTCTATTTAAATTTGATAACTTCATTATAATTCATTGTTCTACAATGAGTATTTTCTTAATCTATGGGAACATAATGTATTGTATTTTTAAAGTAGCAGATATCGTGAAATTTCACTACATTTGTAGTGAGATATTGCAGTGAACAAGAGCACAAGTGTGGACAATCGCATGTATTTAAACAAAATTACAGAACATGTTAGTAAAATCTCAGAATCATACAATAAATACTTCATTTATAAAATGTCAATCAATCATCTCAGACTTCATTGTTCCTTCATTTTCAGAGCAATCATTCTCTGTTTTCATCGTATTTTTTTCGATTTTCTTAACCTTCTACCTTCAGGTATTTCACTTTCAATTGATGATACATACTACTTATATTTGTCGATATCAGTAGCACACACCATATATCTATTTCTATCTACTGGATAATTCTATCCTTTTTTGTTATTGTTAAAACGTAATCATATATTAAATGGTTACAAATATATACCGATATTTCTTTACGGTACTAATTTCCATTATTACTATCCTCTATCTGGATTGATAAATTTTTACCTTGCATTTTCGTGAAACAATCTACCGAAATAGTAACATGGCCGTTGGTATAATGTTTGCATTCCTTGTTAAATCAAATATTGTGATTATATTTTTTTAAAACACAAAACGTACTTTTGTTAAATATACATTATTAATAAGCGCAGAAGTAGTTAATAGATTTACTGGATAAATGTAAGTCATTTTAGTTCATCATAGTCATCTATTCAAACAAATATAGAACCATGATTATATTGTTACTTTTAAAGTTATTGCCTTGAAAATATTAGTAATAATACGTGATTAGGTAAGCTGACGATATGGTTTAATTAAACTGAACCATGTGACTTAGAGTAAAAATACCCTATTTTTCATGATCTTATTTGATTTATTGTTACAATCTTCGTTTGATGTACTCATTCTGGAAATATGTTCCCACGGAATAATTTGAATAGGCTGATATATATTTGTGTTATCTAATGAAATGTATGAATGTTGGCTGGTTAGACTCGTGACTGATAAAAGTATGTCTACTCAAATTAAAATCTCATATAGTTTTTTTTTATCATCCTATCTGAAATATTTCATAGACCTTCATATTTATAAATCATCATAAATATCATGTTTAAATCTACACAATTCAACTTACTAAAAGTGAATACAATGGTTTTGAGTGTTGTTAGATGTGTGAGGGCAGTTTTCACTTAATGGTTTCCCACACTGTTAAAGGGTTCTTCTAGAAGTACGTGAAAAGGAAATTGGGTTAGAGTTGGTTTTGGTAACCTGTGAGCTTGACCGTAGTGCCGAAGATACAACTGCTTAAAGCCGGTCACACACGACCTTTTCGTGAGTGATTTTTGTGTTAGCTCCATACTTACTGGGACCTTACCGTCGGAGATGGGAATCTGTGGAGTAAGGTGAGATGTTCACTTGAGGGTCGACCCATTCTAACCCCTTCCTTCCTTGTAGGAATGCTTTATC